TTTCTGGAAGTTTCTCAGCTGCTCTCTTAGCTATAACCTTCTTCCGCCCAAAACATATCTTCTGTAATTTAATTTTCAGCCCCGTAATGTCCTCCGTTTAAATTTGCTTTGTTGTGAAATTAAAAGCGAGAGAAAATAAGTTGGATAAGTTTGAAAAAAAAAGTATATATATAGTTTCCCAGGACAAGTGTTGTATATAAGCAACGTTATGTGAAGCTTTTAAGACAATATTTTTCCATGATTCAGGTTTAAGATATAGGCAAAGAGACACTTGAACGTATGGCATTGTTACGTTTGAGATTAAACCACTTGGATGCGTTGTTGAAAATGTCTCTCTCTTAGTGTTGTTGCCTCAAGTTTCTCTCAATTTACCCAACATAGTTATTTCTAACTTAATTTTACAGCTTGCTTGACTACGTATATAACATTAATGTGGAGGTTAACTAAAAGGTTTTGGTTTTATAGTTAAATTCTGATATGCTTGTGTCTGTAGTCACAATATTACGTTCATGTATAAGTCCCACTGAATTTAGTTTTATTTCTAGGATCGAGAGAGAGCTGTACAATGTTTTTGGTCGTCTCATCCACTATAATGAAAACCAAAATTGTTCAACACTGTTTGTTATTATTATTATTATTATTATTATTATTATTATTATTATTATTATTATTATTATTATTATTATTATTATTTTTATTATTATTATTATTATTATTATTATTATTAAACAGTATTGCCATTATTATTATTAAGTCGTTAATCCAACCATCCATCGTGGTCAGTTTAGCTGTACATGGAGGAAGATGGTGCCCACACATGTAAGATGTCGTCTGTCTAGCCACTGACAACAGCTCCCGGCGTCACAGTTGCTTGGTATGTGACGGTGGAGGAGAGACTTCTACCTGTACTGTTTCACTCGAGTCATATTTGTTAGTGAAGATTCCGCGGTGCCAGCATGAGTGTTCACTTCTCCTGTACAAACAGATGTTGAACTTACAGTACTTGAAAACTGACGGTATTTTCTTCTTCACAAGACAATAGAAGTTGGATGCGAGGGGATCACCCTGTTGGTAGTCTTCATCTGACGTTATTATACAGTGTGTTTACCGAAGATCAACATAGTTACCACTGTTGTGATGCCTCAAGAAGGGCAGGAGGAAGAGGAAATATTTTCGTACTGGTGCACTTTTCCTTACTAAGTTGAAAGTTTCTGAAATTAAGTCGGAACATCCTTTTTCGTCTGTGAGACTTGTGATGTTTGTCTCATGAGCTGCCGCCTCACAGACCCGAGTGGCCTTGCTCTCAACATGGCGGAAGTGTCTCAGCTGACTATGCATGACTGCCCTAGCAGCATGGCGTGTTGCTGACGGCGATAGGTCTGATTCAGCTTATCTTTTAAGTGCCGAGGTTTTAAATCTGTGACTCCATCAGAGGAAGACATGACTTCTTGTATACATTATTCTGTTGAAGAGTAATGGTTCCGTGATGGCGGTATTGGTGAAGAGGTTACAGTCGTTGTTTAGGACTGTGTGTGTGTGTGTGTGTGTGTGTGTGTGTGTGTGTGTGTGTGTGTGTGTGTGTGTGTGTGTCTCCAGGAGCAAGTTTATCATTTCTGGTGATTAACCTGACTGCCGAGGCGGTTGTCGCCCTCCTCTGTTTTCTTGTTGACTTGAGTTTTAATCTTGAAGATCTCAGGGAGGTTAAGTGACACTATCTTCACGGATGTCAGAGTGTTGAACTTTCATTATTCATTCTCCTGAAGATGTGTGTTAAGCTTGCCGGCTGCTTGTGGAAGAAATATCTTGGGTCTATGTGGTAGCGTTGTGGTGGACTGGTGGCTGCTCATTGGGCGGCCATCAGATCAACTGATAAGATGAGGCTGAGAAGGGCGTTGCTGCTCTCTTTGTTGCTGTCTGACCCTAACGACCACAAAACATAATATTATTGAAATTAATGTATATAAAGTATATACTTACAAAGATTGCAAACAAAAGTAAAATTGATAATAAAGTGATAAAGAATATATTTTCCATTTGAAAACAGTAAAATAGAACAAAATTCCACAATTTAAAGAGAAAAGAGATGAAATGTGCCATGAGAACAAATAAAAGAAATATGAAAAAAATTATTGAACTTTCGAAGGAAAAAATGGGAATTCATTAGGAAAATTGATTCGATCGCCAACACAGGGCGGGAGACTAAAGAGAATCAGCAGTTCAAAAGTTGGCCGGCGAGGCTCATCATTTCATTTGAAAAAATTTCTGCGAATCTAGGTAGAAAGAATAATATCTGAAATGATTTAACTTGAAAAATAAAAGCTCAAAATTTCAGGGCTGCTATACAGCACGTGTGACAAAATATGCAAAAACAAAAAAAGTAACTTTCTTTGTGTTGGGTGAAAATGACGTCGTAAACACTCACAAGAATGAAGAAATATTAAAAATATGTTAAGTGAATCTATATTCGAAAGCAACACGAAGCACAAAATTAATAAAGGGGTGGGGGTAATGTGCACGTGACGTTGTGTAAGTACAGGTGTGTCTTACTTCTTTAAAGAAAGAAGGAAGATAATTCAAAAGAAGAGCATATGGACATACAAATACAGAGAGGAATCAATAAAGGACTGAAATTTAGATAAATCAATAAATACATAGACTAAGGGCGAAAAAGTGATGAAACTACAAAAAATATAATGTACCAAGAAAATAACGACAAAATACTTCAGGTTATATATACACACAAGTTAGTATTCAATATAGTTGGAATCATTCTGTTAAAAACGAAACTCGTTATCTGTGCTGCCACACGTGGTGGTCGGCGCCATAACCCGTCTGGACGCAAAACACTGAAATCGAAATTTGTAGGTGTAGCGCGCGGCGACTGTTGTGTCCATTTCTCTGTTGTGACCACCCCGCTGTTGTGACCACCCCGCTGTTGTGACCACCCCGCTGTTGTGTCCACGCCGCTGTTGTGACCACCCCGTTGTTGTGACCACCCCGCTGTTGTGACCACCCCGCTGTTGTGACCACCCCGCTGTTGTGACCACCACCCTGCTGTTGTGACCTGCTGTTGTGACCACCGCCGTTGTTGTGACCACCCTGCTGTTGTGACCACGCCCGTTGTTGTGACCACCCCTGCTGTTGTGACCACCGCTGTTGTGACGCTGGTTGTGACCACCGCTGTTGTGACCACCCGCTGTTGTGACCACCCCGTTGTTGTGACCACCCGCTGTTGTGACCACCCGCTGTTGTGATCACCCCGCTGTTGTGACCACCCCGCTGTTGTTGACCACCCGCTGTTGTGACCACACCCGCTGTTGCAGACCACCCGCTGTTGTGTCCACGCCGCTGTTGTGACCACCCCGTTGTTGTGACCACCCCGCTGTTGTGACCACCCCGCTGTTGTGACCACCCCGCTGCTGTGTCCAGCCCGTTGTTTACGTTAGGTTAGGTCAGCTTAAACTTTAGATAAAAATAGTTCAGGCGGATACGACAGGTGCTGGAGAGGTGAGGTAAAAGACACTTAACAGCGTACAAAGTCATATCAACATAGAGTGGCGTCTGTATAAACAAAAACCTTGATAGGAACCTGATCTCACTTTACGCTATGAGAAACATTCAATACATAACGTGTAACCATAACATAATGTTTTCCTATATTAGACCTAACAAATGTATATAAACTCATCACGGTAACGATTCTAAATATTGTGACCTATAAAGAACACACACACACACACACACACAGGCTTAGAATATGAAATTACATACAATATACCGCGTGTGTGTGTGTGTGTGTGTGTGTTTCATATAAGAGTGATATAATTGGAAACAGCCTGTAAGTCCCTATTTCAATTTAGAGTTATCCTGGTGTTCTATAGTGGTCGCCATAGCAACATCCCCAATACACGGTAATAGTAGTGAATGGTTTTGATACTCAGGATTATACGTGAAGTAATTTGTTTGCCTCATCACACTCTACCCCAATAGTCCGTCCATACACACTACGATTTCTAAATATGTTTTCTAATTATATATTCAGTTATCTTGAAAGTCGATGCCATGGTTATCATTTTATTTTTAAGGAAGTTTCTAGTTTGGGAATTTTATTATATGAATTTAGATATTTTGGTTTTTATTTTATTTATATTTTTGCTGTGGTTGTGATTTAATATTTCAGGAAGTTCTACATTTTAAACTTTTCTGGTAAATATTCAAATAGCATGAAAATTACTACCGTTGTTGCAATTTTAATCTGAGGAAGGTGAGTGTTTTGGACTTTGGACTAAATTTAGAAATCTTGAAAATTTTTGCCATGATTACGATTCTATTTTGGGCGATGTTGTGTGTGTTGGAGAGAGAGAGAGAGAGAGAGAGAGAGAGAGAGAGAGAGAGAGAGAGAGAGAGAGAGAGAGAGCGTGTGTGTGTGTGTGTCGCCTCCAGCATAGGATGTAAACTAAAGAGCATATTTGTATTCTGAACTACTCGGACAGTATTATAAAAGTCTCACAGTAATATGTATGTATATATATATGATGCTTGCAGGTTTATACTGGGGCGGGAATCTTTGTGTAGTCTACGAGCAGTCTAAAATATTATTGCTTTTTTATAATTATGGTTTTGTTTTTGCAGTTTATTTACTTCTCATTGTTTTCATCTTTCTTTTATTTTTTCTTTCTCTACTTTGTTTGAATCTTTCTTTCTCTCACCTTTCTTTTCTCCGTTTCACTCTATTGCTGTTTTTATATCGTTTTACTTTTACCTCTCTCTTCCTCTCACTCTCTCGCTCTTCCTCTCCCCCTCTCTCTCACTCTCACACCAGTCAACCTCTCTCTCTTTTACTTTCACTCTTTCTCTCGCTATCACTCTCACAATCACATTCAATATCTCTCTCTCTCTCTCTCTCTCTCTCTCTCTCTCTCTCTCTCTCTCTCTCTCACACAGTCACTCCATCCCCCTAAAAAAAGATACATAATCACCATATAATGAACAACATTTACCGTTTTGAAGAACCTTCCAGTAGCGCAGTGGTCTCATACCTGTAAAGAAAAGAGAAAAGACGAAACATGAGAAAAGTGAACGAAAAATAATACCGACATCGTGTTCCGTGTGTCTTGTTAAGTGGCCAAGACGTATCCTCGGTGAAAAGAGCCCAAAGTTTGCTTGTTATTTTCACCTATGTTAGTTTCATGTTTGTTTGTGTGAGTGTGTGTGTGTGTGTGTGTGTGTGTGTGTGTGTGTGTGTGTGTGTGTGTGTGTGTGTGTGTATGTGTGTGTGTGTGTGTGTGTGTGTGTGTGATGAGGGTATATTTACAATAACACTTATACCCTAAGCCTCTACGTGATATAACTAAAATGAAACTACGCATACAAAACATATATCACTTTTCCATTATTTTTTCCTATTCTGTGTGTGTGTCTGTGTCTGTGAATCTCTCTCTCTACACACACACACACACACACACACACACACACACACACACACACACACACACACATACACACACATACACTCTCCAACAAACCATTACTACGAGATAACTTAATCCTAAGCTCCCGTAAAAAAAGATTTATTTTAGTCACCTTCCCAACCAAGTTCTTCTCTTACTATAATATATATTTTTTATACAATACTATATAATTACCGTACTCTCCTATATGTCCATCCCTGACAATCCCACTCAGGTAGTGTACTCAGAGGTAATCAAATAAAGCTTCTGATTGCATTAAAATTACCAGCAAAATGAAACAACCAGGTATATTGAATTTTACCTGTGTGTTGCCTCATTGAATCCTGTGTCGGTGATTATAGTGCAGTCTCCTCGTGTATGTGTGTGTATGTGTGTGTGTGTGTGTGTGTGTGTGTGTGAGTTTGTTTTTTTGTCATTTTTGTATTTCTGTTTGATTTTTTGTCTATATGTTATCTGTGTGCTTTTGTTTGTCTTTCTGTTTATGTGTGTTTTCATTCTGTTTGTTTGCTTGTATTTCTGTCTGTTTATTTGTCTGTTTGTTCCATTCTGTTTGTTTGATTCTTAGTGTCTCTGTATATTTGTTGTCTGTATGTATGTGTGTTTGTTTGTATCTGTTTGTCTATGTTTTAACTTGTCTGTGCTGTTTAGTTTGTTTGTTTATCTGTTTATCTGATTCTTTGCTTCTACTTTATCTCTCTCTCTCTCTCTCACTCAATCATTTCTCTTTCTCTCCCTTATCCTCTCGCTTTCTCTCAATCAATCAATCAATAAATCAATCAACCATCTCTCTCTCTCTCTCTCTCTCTCTCCCTTTTCCGCTCCTTACCAAAGAGACCAATTCCCTGCCAGACACTGCGCAATAACTCCACAATATGACCCACTTCTTGCCAATTGCTCACCTTGGTCCTGGTTCATTCCCGACACCTAAACAACCATCCTGCTGTGGGATATTAGTCTACAGGGAGTATACAGGTAGAGGTTAAGAACAGGTGTACAGGTGTAGGTAAAGAGGAACAGGTGTACAGGGGTAGGTATAGAGTGACAGGTGTACATGTGTAGGTGTATAAGGCTAGATGTAGAGGTGTACGTGTATAGGTGTATAGGTTTATGTATGTACAGTCCCCTTCACTAGTACGTTTACATTCGACAGAAGGAAACTCGCTACAGTAAACACACTACGGAATCAAAGTAAAACAATATTAAAACAAATATCTCAATGTAATGAATTGTGGAATGTTTATATGACGAGCCTCTGTAAACGCACCATTGAAGGGGACTCTGTCTGTCTGTCTGTCCGTCTGTCCGTCTGTCTGTCTGTCTGTGTATGTATGTATGTATGTATGTATGTATGTATGTATGTATGTATGTATGTAATAATGAATAAATATAGCTGTATTTAGGAATATTTGTGCATGACTATACATACATATATAGACAGTTAGGTATATTTTTATCTTTAAACCCCAAGAGAGAGATTCAATTTTAACACACAAGCCAAAACTAAAAAAAAAAAGAAGACATAGAAATAGCAACAGAGAAAATAAAATGATTTTAAACAAAAAAAGACTAGACTAGAACACGTCATGGAAAAACAAACACGTATACAGTTCTTTTTTGGGGGGTATTGTTATTTCTGTCTCCTCCAGGCGGATCAGATTCTGAGGTGAAGGTATTGTGTGAGAAGTATTAAATGGAATTATTGAGGTGATGATTATACGTGAAAACGACCAAAAGGAATATGTTTTAGAGAGAGAGAGCGAGAGAGAGAGAGAGAGAGAGAAAGAGAGAGAGAGAGAGAGAGAGAGAGAGAGAGACTGACAGATAAAACAAATTAAAGACAGTATATCAGAAGCAGGGACACAGAGCATTATAAATAGATAAATAAATGAACACAAGCATAAAAAGGAAAACAAACAAACAAACACAAATACAGCCAAAATTACACAAAAAAGCGAGGCGAGCAAAGTGTATATACAGAGCTACAACAGCACTCAGAGAAACAATCAGACAGAAGCCAAGTATTAAAGCATTAATTCACTACAATAAGTGTATGCAAATTAGGAAGGCAAATTGAAGGGTGGGGGTTGATTCGCTCCTCATATATTTTATAGGTAAACACACACACACACACACACACACACACACACACACACACACACACAAGTGAATACAGACTATGTTGAGGTTTATTGTAACGTGTTGGTTGTGTGTGTGTGTGTGTGTGTGTGTGTGTGTGTGTGTGTGTGTGTGTATTTATGGTTGAATTTGTTCCTACACTAGAGCTGATGATGATGTGTGTGTGTGTGTGTGTGTGTGTGTGTGTGTCTCCCATTGTCTGAATTCTTCTTGATAAAACCACACGCTCAAGTTAGTCACAACAAGAGCAATATTTCGCTGACATTCCTAAGAGGTCGGAATTCTTACTTACATTTTAATTAAAGTCAACCATATACTGTATAAGAGAGAGTTTATAACCGCTTTGTCCGTCTGTGTGAGTGACCTCTGACCTTGACCCCTGACCATGACCACTGACCATGATCACTAATTTTGACCCTGACCTTTATCCCTGACTATGACCTCTGAATTTAATATCTGACCCTTACCCCCTGACTTTGACCTCTGACCATGACCTCTGATTTTGACCTTCTGATATAACAACGCTGAAATCAATAAGCATCGAGATATTGTTCAGGGCGAGGCTCAAAGAAACATTGGAGACGGAACGATACATAGAAGAAAAGTTATGTCGGGGACACCAAAAGATTAACAGACAGACAGCTGGACAGACAGACAGACAGGTAAAATAAAAGACAAGTAGAGATAAAGACAGACAGACAGACAGAGAGACAGGTAGGATAAAATACAGGTGGGGATAAAGACAGACGAGCAGACAGGTGGAGATAAAGACAGACAGACAGGAAAGATAACAGACACGTGGAGATAAAGACAGACAGACAGACAGACAGACAGACAGAGGGGCGGGTAGACAGACTGACAGACAGACAGACAATTACCCACCATCCTAAACTCCACAAAGCGATGTATGAAAATTGTAATTACAAAACCCAAACTTTCAAAGAAAAAGCCCAAATTTAAAAAAAAAAAAAATATTATGAAATATCATGTGTAAAACAAAGCCAACAATAACAAGGAAACAAACAAATGAACTGTACTTAGTTCCCTTTCCCATCTTTCCTCTACCCTTTCCAACCACATTTCATCACCCCCTTTTTCTCCACACATACATTAACCCCCCTTCCCTTTTCCTTCAATTTTCCCCCTTCCTCTTCCCTCATAGACTAACCCCCTCTCCCCTCTTCTTTCAGCCTTCTCCTCCCTCTCCCCTCACACACTCTCCTCTTTTTCAGCCTTCCCTCTCCTCTCACCAGGCTGACTCATCTCCTTATCTCCTCTAACCCTTTCCCCGTCCTTCCCTCACACAACTCCATCCCTTGTCTCTCTCCTCACTCAACCACACTTAACAACTGCCTCTTCCCCCCAATAATATTTAAACCCCTACTTTCTTTTTCCACCTTTCCCTTCATTTCCCCTCACACACGTTTAACCCCTCCCTATCTCCCCTCTCCCCTCACACACACACATATATAACCTCTCCCTTCTATCCCCTCACACGACCACACCTAATCCACGCTTCTCTCCCCTCACACACTAACCCCCCTTCCCTTCTTCCTTCCACGCTCCTCCTCCCTCTCCTCTCAGATACTAACCTCCCCTTCCCCTCTTCCTCTCCCCTCTTTACCAGGCATCCTCTAACCGCACTTTATCGGGGAGAATGGAGGCTTGGGGCGAAAAGGGTTAAGATAAATCCCCGGTCGAGGCTCCCAAAAGATGATGGCCCATCCTTGAACACCCTTCAGGTACCGTCTAGCTGATGGTTATGCCCGTAGGGGATGGAGGCCGATTAGTGCGACGCCTTTGTGTGAGAGAGGGAGGTGAGAGTGAGTAGTGAGTGTGGGGAGAGTGTGGTGTGTGTGTGTGTGGAGGGGGAGAGTAAAGTGTGTGGAGGATGGAGTGTGGTGTGTATGAGGGGGTGGAGTGTATGTGGGAGGTGGAGTTGTGGTGTGTGTGGGGATGTGTGTGGAGTGTGTGTATGAAGGATGGAGTGTGGTGTGTGTGTGGGGGTTCGTGAAGTGTGTGTGTGGGAGAGTGGTTGTGGTGGTATGGTAGAGTGTGTGTTTGTTTGTGGTGGGAAGACTGAGTAGTGGGTAGTGAGTGCGTGCTTGTGGGGTTTTGTGTGGTAGGGCTGTGGTGATGGTGGTGTGAGAGTGGGAAAAATGCCACACAGGGAACTCACTACACATTGAACTCACAGCGCAAGGAACTCACTACGCAGGGAACTCACTACACAAGGAACTCACCTCACAAGGAACTCACTACACAAGGAAATCACTACAAAAGGAACTCACACACATGGAACTCACTACACAAGGAACTCACTACACAGAGAACTCACTACACAGTACAGGTAATACACCTTGAGCTTAATTCTGTAAAACGTTCTAAGTGAATGAAACCCCAGAAAGGAGATTTTCAGAGTTAAACCTGGT